GTGGAAGACAGGAGTGCCTGGCGTGCTCTGGTCCATGGGGTCACGAAGAGTCGGACACGACTAAACAACAACAACAATGGTATGGAAGGGAGGTTGGGTAAGAGGGATACTGCAATTGTACACAGACATATTCATGGATATTCGTACCTTCCCTGAAAGTCAATACTGTCCCCTAGCTGCAAAACTAGAGGTCCACAACCAGAGAAATGTGCTGCACCAAAGTATATTTGTGCTCCATTCTTTCCACGAGTTGCTGTTTGGTCAGTTACATACGCTTCAGGTTACATACGCTTCAGGTTACAGACTCTGCTAACCCAGAAATAGTACCTCGGGTTAAGAACTTTGCTTCAGGATGAGAATAGAAATTGTGCTCCGGCGGCGTGGCAGCAGCAGGAGGCCCCATTAGCTAAAGTGGTGCTTCAGGTTAAGAACAGTTTCAGGTTAAGTACGGACCTCCGGAACGAATTAAGTACTTAATCCGAGGTACCACTGTATTGGGAAAAACCCTTACCTTTCACATCCTGGTTTACAGTCCTTGTTCTTCTCTGCTACTTTGGCTATCTTCACTCTTTGTTTGCAATGAAACAGAATGTTATAGTAGACATGGTAACTTCCTGATGCCACACAGTAATGATGCTGAGGGCAAAGCCTTTCCATTTCCCCACCAGCATTTCCAACATTAGAGGTACACAGTTGGTTTACTGCCAAGAAAGTTAGGCTGACACTGTCAAAGAGTGGATTGGGTTTTGCTGCGGTCAAAATGTTCACAGAGCACATTATCTTTCACCCCATTTAAGTGCAACACCAGTATTAGCTGCGCATTAGCTCCCTTAGCTGCTCCTGGTAATGGCTGAGACCAATTACCACTATTAATTTTATCATGTACAGTGTACCCGCAAGACGAACGTCTCGCAAGACGGAAACCCGCTAGACGAAAGGTTTTCCGTTTTGGAGACCCTTCGCAAAACGAATTTCCCTATGGGCTTCCTTCGCAAGGACGGAAGCCCATAGGGAAATCTCCGGGACAGGGCGTCTTGCCCACTGTCCTCGGACCTCCTCCCGCGCCAGGCTTCGGAAGGCTGCTCTGAAGCCTGGCGGGGGGCGGAGAGGTTTTTTAAAAACCCGGGACAGCGGAGGACTTCTCCGCTGTCCGGGGCGATTTTAAAATGCTGGCGGGCGGCAGCGCTGCCGCCCAGCAGCATTTAAAAAACTCCGGGACAGCGGGGGACTTCTCCTTTGTCCGAGGTTTTTTAAAATGCTGGCGGGCGGCAGCGAAGGCTTCTCCGCTGTCCGGGGCGATTTTAAAATGCTGCCGTGGGGGGGGGAGCAAAGACTTTCGCCCCCCCAGCCTTCTGAAGGCTGGCGGGGGGCGAAAATCTTTGTCCCCCCTGCCTGCCTGCCTGCCTTTAAAAGCCCTCCCGGGGGAGCGGAGACGTTTCTCCGCTCTCCCGGGAGGGCTTTTAAAGGCAGGCAGGCAGGGGGGACAAAGATTTTCGCCCCCCCGCCAGCCTTCAGAAGAGGTCCTGGACCTCTTCTGAAGGCTGGCGGGGGGCGAAAATCTTTGTCCCCCCTGGCTGCCTTCCCGGGAGGGCTTTTAAATCGCCCCGGACAGCGGAGAAGTCCTCCGCTGTCCGGGGCGATTTTAAAATGCTGCCGTGGGGGGGGGAGCAAAGACTTTCGCCCCCCCCCAGCCTTCAGAAGAGGTCGGGGGACAGATTGTCCCCGGACCTGGTCTGAAGTCGGTTTCCATAGGAACGCATTAATTGATTTTCAATGCATTCCTATGGGAAACCGTGCATCGCAAGACGAAAAACTCGCAAGAAGAAAAAACTTGCGGAACGAATTAATTTCGTCTTGCGAGGCACCACTGTATGTGCTACAATTTGCTTGATTAATGTCTTCTACCTGATTGCACATTTAGTCTCATCTCTGTTGGGCTAGACAGTTCCTTTACAAAAAAGCAAAAGCAAATGTGGACTGTTCAAACGGAGTCCAGTATCTGCAAATATTTCCTGCTGCGTTGATAATAAATACAATATAATTCACTCACAAATGTAACCTGATGACCAATAATTCTCATGTTTCAGTTACAATCAGATTAATTGAATTCGTAAAAATTGTTTTGGACCCTTTCCCCTTTGCTGGTACTTATCCCAAACAACCGTGTTGGCATGCTCAACAGTTGCAAAAATCAAATTGAGAAAATGTATTCGGAATTAACAAGTTCAACAGTTGCAAAGATCAAATTGAGAAAATGTATTCGGAATTAATAAGTTTGGTTTATTTGTATACAAAGCTGAAGAGAAATCCAGCTCCAGGAAGTGCATTGGCCACTGGAGGTACATTTAGAGGTCTAAGGCAGGCATGGCCAAACTTGGCCCTCCAGCTGTTTTGGGACTACAGTTCCCATCATCCCTGACCACTGGTCCTGTTAGCTAGGGATGATGGGAGTTGTAGTCCCAAAACAGCTAGAGGGCCGAGTTTGGCCATACCTGGTCTGAGGAACTGCCCTGGGTGTTAGAAACTCAATTTCACTCACCCCACCAAAAAAGCAGACAAAACACCTACACCCAAAAAGCAGTGGGTGCTGAGATAAGTCACCCAGGGTGCCATGAACACCATACAGAACCCAGGCACAGTCTATATGCCCAGTGCCTACACTATAGTGGGCTTGGTACTGGAAGCATATGCTGAAACAATTGTATAGGATAAGTCTTATTTGGACAGGAACCGCATTGCTGTGGGATATGTAGTTTAACACGTTTTCCCATGCACAGTTTCCTTGGTGTAAGCCTCTCCAAGCAGCTATTGGCTTTGGAGCAATGCACGCGCACAGATACAACACAGGCAAGTCCAGTGCTTTCTTTTCTATTAAAAAATGTTTAGGGGTACTCTCATTTTATTATTATTATTATTATTATTATTATTATTATTATTATTATTATTATTGTTTGTTTGTTAATACCCCGCCCATCTGGCTGGGTTTCCCCAGCCACTCTGGGCAGCTTCCAACAGAATATTAAAATACAATAGTCTATTAAACATTAAAAGCTTCCCTAAACAGGGCTGCCTTCAGGTGTCTTCTAAAAGTCTGGTAGTTTTCTCTTTGACATCCGGTGGGAGGGTGTTCCACGGGGCGGGTGCCACTACCGAGAAGGCCCTCTGCCTGGTTCCCTGTAACTTGGCTTCTCGCAGTGAGGGAACTGCCAGAAGGCCCTTGGTACTGGACCTCAGTGTCCAAGCAGAACGATGGGGGTGGAGACACTCCTTCAGGTATACTGGACCGAGGCCGTTTAGGGCTTTAAAGGTCAGCACCAACACTTTGAATTGTGCTCGGAAACATACTGGGAGCCAGTGTAGGTCTTTCAAAACTGGTGTTATGTGGTCTTGGCAGCCATTCCCAGTCACCAGTCTAGCTGCTGCATTCTGGATTAGTTGTAGTTTCCGGGTCACCTTCAAAGGTAGCCCCACATAGAGTGCATTGCAGTAGTCCAAGGGAGAGATAACCAGAGCATGCACCACTCTGGCAAGGCAGTCTGCGGGTAGGTAGGGTCTCAGCCTGCGTACCAGATGGAGCTGGTAAACAGCTGCTCTGGACACAGAATTGACCTGTGCCTCCATGGACAGCTGCGAGTCCAAAATGACTCCCAGGCTGCGCACCTGGTCCTTCAGTAGCACAGTTACCCCATTCAGGACCAAGGAGTCCTACTCGTATTGAAATACTGCCCCTCAATGATGCCAAACTTAGATTCACAACATGTTTAGGGGTATGCATACCCCTGCGTACCCCCCAGAAGAAAAAGCACTGGGAACGTCCATTCTCCCACAGGTGATTGCTTCCTGGAGAGTCTGAAATTGCAGAAATGGGAAAAACAGTTAACCTGGTCCCAGAGTAATGGCCCCAATCCATAACCTCCATGGTAACTATAAAGAAAATAAAGATGTAGGTAAAACTTGCCATGGAATCTTCCATATCACAAGGAGGCTATGTACACATGAAATGCAGCAGGGTCATTGCTGTTCACCCCAGAGAGGAAACATGGATGTCTTCACCCACATGCATTGCTTGCTAGATTTTCCTGCCCCTGCAAACCACCCCCTGAATGTGGAAATATTCCCTTAAGTTACTCCATCCAGGATTTCCCCCTGAAATGGCTTGACACCAGCTTTTCTTTCTCCCCATAGAGTCCCGATGTACAGTGGTACCTCGGGTTACCTGCGCTTCAGGTTACAGGCTCCGCTAACCCAGAAATAGTGCTTCAGGTTAAGAACTTTGCTTCAGGATGAGAACAGAAATCGTGCTCCGGCGACGTGGCAGCAGCAGGAGGCCCCATTAGCTAAAGTGGTGCTTCAGGTTAAGGACAGTTTCAGGTTAAGTACGGACCTCCGGAACGAATTAAGTACTTAACCCGAGGTACCACTGTAAATCTTTAGCGGGAGAGAAAACAAGAAGAGAGAAACAGTTTGGCATCAAAATGCAAAGGTGGGTTTCAGGACCCATCAGAATCTCCCCTTCCCCACCACACGCTAGAAATCATTGTGTTGTTATTTGAATTAAGTGGGATCTCAGATGGGCTATTCCACCTTCACGTCTAGTTTGCCTTGTAGAGAAATAGTTCCTGAGACGATGGAGGAGGCTCCTGAGAGGCCAACTTGTTCGCTGAGAGCTGAGCAAATGAAGCACAAGAAGCTAAAAGCGGCTTTATTTATTGGCAAGCTACATAATGAGAAGCATTTAAGAGATAAAATCATTTATTCTTTTAGTAAATCTCAAAAAGAACAAAAGAGTAATAGAATCCATGTGTGAGGGTTATTATCAGTGCTTTTTTCTGGGGATACGCATACCCATAAATATTTTGTGAATTTTTGTACTTTTGTCCATTAACTGTATTTATTCTTCCCGATTTGAACTATAAAACAGTGATTTTATTGAGTCAAAATGAAAGTACCCCTAAACTTTTTTTTCTTTTTTTTTTAAAGCACTGGTTCAGGAAGGCTGGTTCTTACTCTTCAGTATTTATTATGCTTGGTATAGCTCCTGGAATAAAATATATCACAGCATCTCTTACACTGAATGACTCCAGGCAACTGGAATGAAGGTACAAAGGCATCAGCATTCCAGGTATCTCATACAATTGGGAACAGCTGCATTTTCTTAAGCAATAATGGCTTCTAGAAACATTTGCAATAGCATGCATTATTTTTCAAGAGGTGTAGCTAAAAATCAAAGATGGTGCATGTAATTGTTCAAGCACTGGATTTAATGGTTCCTGCTTCATGGTGCATATGGCGGTGGCAAAAGGGTGGCAGATATTTTGTCATAGGCCGGTGGAGCATCAGGCACCTGTGAAAATGGAAGTCAGGAAAGGGAAAATAATAATAATATAATAATTTATTACTTATACCCCACCCATCTGGTTGGGTCTCCCCAGCCACTCTGGGCGGCTTCCAACAGGAGATTAAAAATACATGAAAATATCAGTCATTAAAAAACATCCCTAAACAGGGCTGCCTTCAGATGTCTTCTAAATGTCAGATCGTCGTTTATTCCTTTGACATCTGATGGGAGGGCGTTCCACAGAGCAGGAGCCACTACTGAGAAGGCCCTCTGCCTGGTTCCCTGTAACTTCACTTCTCTCAGTGAGGGAACCGCCAGAAGGCCCTCGGCGCTGGACCTCAGTGTCCAAGCCGAACGATGGGGGTGGAGATGCTCCTTCAGGTATACTGGGCCGAGGCCGTTTAGGGCTTTAAAGGTCAGCACCAACACTTTGAATTGTGCTCGGAAACGTACTGTTATTCATATGCTACGTTGTAAATACTAAGGTGCTTTATAGCTTCCTTAAGCTAATATTGCGTTTCTTAATGCACTTCCCATAATCATCACATTCAAACATCATTATGTCAACATTGCTGGCATCTGTCTGTCTCGAGAGACAATGGAGCGTGCCTCCAGGAGTGAAGCTGAACCATGGTGTTAGCATCAACGAAGTGACCTGTGCCCTGGGCTGCCCAGACAACAAGAACCCCTTTCAGCCTTGCTGATGTGGTCCGAAGGAAAGCAGAGCAATACGTTTGGCACCAGCTTGGTCGCAGGAGCTGCCAGAAGGAGACTTACAAGACACCATCCAACCATCTTAGCAACTCCACTCCGTATTTGTGTAGGGTTTAATCCTTAGCCTTTTCTTCTCCCGAAGATATCTGACAAGGCAGCTTTAGAATCAGAGTTTTCCTCCTCCTAGACCTAGACGGACTACCTTCTCAGGTTGATGAGTCCCATCTCTCCCTCACTTCCCTTTACACCACTATTGGTCTTGTTTGCTGAATCTGCTGGAGCCTGTCTTCACATACAGGGGAAGTCTGTTACTTGCTGAGGGTTTGAGACCCATTGGCTACCTTCACTTGGCTTGGCCAGCCAGTCCAAGCCGCATGGAAAAGCACATGAACTTGACTTTTGAAGAATTTGTAAGTAAACCATTTTCTATGCTAAGGGAAGAGGGAAGTTTTGGAGCTCATAAGGGAATATTTTAAAGGTCTAACAGACTACATTTCCACACTTTACTTCGCTGTATTTTTTTTATATTTTAAATCTCTGCTGCGGTTCACTCACCGAAGAGTAATCGTCCGAAACCTGGACCTCAGCATGCAGGAATTCTTTTCATATACCTATTCCCCCTCCCCTTGCCAACCAACACTATTGAGAAGTAGTTCCACAGGGCACTAAAGCCTCATAAAGGCTTATTGAACCTCAGGGCCAATGGGCTCCACCACCAACCACCCCATCAGAAGATCTCAGGAAGGAAAATTCATTTTTTAAAAAAATAATTCAGCCCCTATGACTCTGTACCAGTGTGATGTTGATTCTTCAGCAATAGTTACCGTATTTTTCGCCCTATAGGGCGAAACGGCCCATAGGGCACACCTAGTTTTCAGGGGGGGAATCAAGGGGAAAAATATGATTCCCCCCCGCAGCTCTGGGAGCAGCGGACAGGCGACATGCAGCCTGTGCGCTACCCCAAGACCTTCTCTCTGCTTTTGCGGGAGGTGGCGGAATTCCCCCACCTCCCGCAAAAGCCCACAGGAGTCGCGCACGACTCCTGTGGGCTTTTCAACCAGGAGGGAGAAGGGACTGAAACGGCCAGTCAATCCCTTGTCCGTCCTCGGGGAAAAGCCCCCAAGAGCAGCGCGCTCTTTAAAGGGTGCGCGGCTCCTGCGGGCTTTTGCGGGAGGTGGGGAATCTCCCGCAAAAGCCCACAGGAGGGAGAAAGGACTGACTCGGCCAGTCGGTCCCTTCTTCCTCCTTGGTGAAAAGCCCCCAAGAGCGGCGTGCTCTTTAAAGGGTGCACGGCTCCTGTGGGCTTTTCGACCCAGCTTGCGGGGCTGGCGGTGGGGGGAAGCGCTGCTTTCCCCCACCGCCAGCCTCAAAGAGCAGACTCTCCTGGCTTCAGCGAAAGCAACGCGAAGCCTCCGGAGCGCAGGCTTCACGTTGCTTTCGCTGAAGCCAAGGAGCCTGCATTCGCCCCATAGGACGCACACACATTTCCCCTTCATTTTTGGAGGGGGAAAAGTGCATCCTATAGGGCGAAAAATACGGTATATACTTGTTCATTTTATGTCCCACTTGTCCTCTAAGGAGCTCAAAGGACACCCCTATTTTAACCTCAGAACAACCCTGTGAGGTAGGATGGGCTAAGATGCAATGACTGGTCCAAGGTCACCCCATGAGCAACGTGGCTGAGTGGGGATTTGAACCCCAGTCTCTCAGGTCCTAGTCTAAAGCTCTAACCACTCCACTCCACTGGCCCTCTCACTGCACTCTCTGGTGGTCACAGAAAGGGTTTCCAAATGTTAAGAGAAAGGATAATCTTACCACATGGCTTCTGTTGCTGTTGTATTCCTGCAAGGGCAATTTGGAGCCCAACAAACCACTTTTGCCTTCCGAGATCCTTCCAGTGGCCCCTCCAAAATTCTTACTCTGTGGCACACAGGGAGAAAAGGGCAGAGAAACGAGACATTTGAGTGCAAGGAAAATTAGAAGGTCCATAAAAAACAACAACAACCAGTAATGAGAATTAAGTCTAAGAGTGTTTTGCACATGAGGCCTAAATCTCTTTGTGGCTTACATCACCTGTCTGTAATGTCAATGTGCTTTCTTTTTTATCCACATTTAACATTCACATGTGGTCTTGCACAAAATTTGCTCTTTAAGTCACTGAAAGTGGGGTCCTACTTGCTCTCACCCTACAATGCATGTGTGATTCCTAACAAGCTATAGTCTTGCAATACATGCCTCCTGCATCAACCTTTGGCAACCCTCTGTGGGCTGCGTCTGATGGGGGGTCTCACCAAACATCTGGAGGGCAACCAGTCTGGCAAAAGCTGTCATAGGCTATTGTGCACATTGAGTACACCCAAGGCTTAACTTACGACAGGGCTAGTACCTGCTCCCTATGTTTAGGTTTAACTCTAGATTATAGGAAGTACAGTACCATACAAATGTACCTCTGAGCAGGGGCAGAGTGTATTTGCCTCACCAGTACTGAGTAACCATGAAGTGTATTTGCACATCAGAGTTTAGGGGGAAAGATTACTGGACTGTGGATCCCGGGAAGAACTGAGATTCAGCATTTTTAAATTTTAATTTTTATCCTTACCAGAAGGCTTCTATAACCATTGCGCTTTTTGTAATACCAACAGCCAATAATCAGCAAAGCTGTAAGAATCACAACAAGAATTCCAATGCCTGCAGCCCTGTTTGGAAAAGAAGACGACACCGTTACAAAACACATATGGGAACAAGGAAGATTTTACTATATCCTGTGTGAAGCACAGTTTTAACACAGGGCTAGGCAAACCAGTAGACACAACAACTGGATTTGCTTTTGTAGCTTTGTAGGGAATGTGATAAGCATGTTGAATCAACTCTATGAAACTCTGCATATTCAGTACAGAATTTGTGCAAAAAGATACACAGGCAGCTAGGAACAAAGAAATAAATTGGGCTTTTGATTATGGGCTGCAATACAACTGGCACACTGCATGATGAGGCTTCCATCTGAATAGATTTTGATATGGAATTATCTCCTTGTTACGACACTGACACAATAGGATTTAGAGGGGATGAAAGGGCTGAGTTCAAAAATATTTCAGTACGAGCTGCATGCTGCAGGTGGAAATGGCATGCACATAACGGCATCTCACCCAAGAGACAACCTCTCACACAGCGGAGGGGACAGGTGCGTCCCCCTGAGGGTGATGGGGCATAAAAGTGAATGCGCAAATGATTATTTGTTTATTTGTGGTGTTTATAGTCCACCTCTCACCTGAAAGTCCCAGGGTGGAAAATACATAAATACGCTGAAATTGAACAATGACAATAAAATGGGAACAATGAAAATAAGAAATAAGGCAGAAGCGGCAGTGGAAACAAACTTATCAGAACTCAATGCGCCTCTACCAAAGGTTTGGGCAAAGAGGAGCCTCTTCGCCTGCCATAAAAAGGAAGCAGAATTGAAGCAAGATGCCCCTCAGAGAAGTCATTCCAAAGGCACCATGCTACTGCAAAGAAAGGGAAGGTAAAGGACTCCTGGATAGTTAAGTCCAGTCAAAGGTGACTATGGGGTTGCGGCGCTCATCTCACTTTCAGGCCGAGGGAGCTGGCGTTTGTCCAGAGACAGCTTTCCAGGTCGTGTGGCGAGGTTGACTAAACCACTTCTGGTGCAGCGGAACACCATGACGGAAACCAGAGCACAAGGAAACACTGTTTACCTTCCTGCTGGAGCGGTACCTATTTATCTACTTGCACTGGCATGCTTTCAAACTGCTAGGTTGGCAGGAGCTGGGACCAAGCAACGGGAGCTCACCCCGTCGCGGGGATTTGAACCACCAACCTTCTGATCGGCAAGCCCAAGAGCCTCAGTGGTTTAGACCACAGCGCCACCCACGTCCCTTGCAAATAAAGACCTCCCATGGACACCCTCAACGTAAACCTCACTGGGTTCTCAATAAGATGACATCTTTATGTCGAAAGTCCGATCAAGCTTGGGATATTCAACTTAGGAATGTAGGAAGGTGCCTTAAATTGAGTCAGACCCTTGCTCCATCTGGCTAGATATTGTCTACCCAGACTAGCAGAGGCTTTCTGGGGCTCCAAGCAGGATTCTTTCTCAGGCCTCCCTAGAAATGCCAGGGATTGAATCGGGGAACTACTGCATGCAAAACGGATGCTCAACCACTAAGCTACCACTCTTCCCAATTGCATATATTCCCCAAAGCATATCTGCAGAGCAAACTAAGCCGATTCCATTTCCGCCGGGATTATTGTCAGGTGTGCGTGCAGGAGCCAGGCCCTGTGACCAATAGGACTCTGCAGGACTAGAGCCTTCCTAAGTTTGTTCTGAAGAGGCAAGGCATGGCCACACAGGTGAGGCCGATTGGTAACGCACAGCACCTGGTGGCAAGAGCCGGGAAGGGATCTAAGGTCAGCATTTCCCTTTGGCTCTTTGCCACAGCAACACCTTCCCTGCCTTGCTGCGTTTGACTCCTTGCTTCTTGATCCTTGGACTTTTGACTTCGTGACTCCTTGCTTCTTGATTTTAATTGTTTTAATGTTGTATTTTAATCTTGTTTTTAAGTTGTATTCATTCAACTCACTTTTATTATTGGTTGTTAGCCGCCCTGAGCCCAGCCTTGGCTGGGGAAGGCGGGGTATAAATAAATTTTATTATTATTACCGGTATTATTGATCCTCAGACCCCTGACTTCATGACTCCTTGCTTCCTGACCATTGGAACCTCGGCTTCTTGACTCCTGGCTCTCTGACCCTTGGACTCTTGGCTTGGCTTCCTGACTCCTGGCTTCTGGACTCCCGCTCCTGCTCCCACCCCACCATCTTGCCCCCGGTCTCGACGTCCCCAGCCGGGACTTCGAACACCTGTGAAACGGACCATGACAATTATTTTCACAGCTATTGCATGAGGCGTTGTGGATGCCCCCTTCATATGTGAGCACAACCGCTTCGTGTGTAAGCCCAACCCCATCGTCTCAATTCCAGCACTCCTATGAACTCAAGTTCCTGGTGACACCTAAAAAACCATTACAGTATAGCGTAAAGTAGCAGAGAGCGGGAGTGTAAATAAGCAAAGTATGTTTTCTTTGCTCATTGGAAGGACAGATTGTGAAGCTGAGGCTCCAGTAGTTTCGCCACCTCATGAGAAGAGAAGACTCCCTGGAAAAGACCCTGATGTTGGGAAAGATGGAGGGCACCGGGAGAAAAGGACGACAGAGGACGAGATGGTTGGACAGTGTTCTCGAAGCTACGAGAGTTTGACCAAACTGCGGGAGGCAGTGGAAGACAGGAGTGCCTGGCGTGCTCTGGTCCATGGGGTCGCGAAGAGTCGGACACGACTAAACGACTAAACAACAACAACAAATGTTTTCTTTCTTTCTTGAATAAGGCTGAAGAGAAAGGGCAATGAGAGTCTCTGTGCTGCAAGTGAAGCAATGAGAGCTGAAGAAATCAACAAGATGTCATGGAATCATCAACTTGTAGAGTTGGGATGAGGGTCATCTGGTCCAACCCCCCCGCAATGCAGGAATCTTTTGCCCAACATGGGGCACGAACCCACAACCCTGATATTCAGTGTCCCATGGTCTACCAACTGAGCTATGCCAGCCTCTCAAATCAACCTTGGGCAACCCCTGGTGGGCTGGGTCTGATGGGTCTGACTCCAACCAAAACGAAAGACACAGAGGAAGATACCAGAGGCCTCAGAGGAATGTGGGAAATGGTCTACTTGTGCAGAGATGTGTTTGCTAGCACAGACATCTGAGTCACAAGAAATCCCAGAACACAGACTGTTGATAACTTTGGGTCCAGCAGATAACAAGGCAACAGCATTCTGATCAAAGCTCTGTAGAGCATCACCTATGACTCCCCGCTAACCCAAATCGGCTACATTGGACCTGACCCCCCTCAATCAAGTGATTGTGTAAGTACAAATGTAATGCAATTAGCATTATGAGCACAATTAGTGTTGTCAACCTGTTACCGAGAAATTCAGTAAAAGGTGAATTAATTACTGTGTTGCCTTATCAACTCCCATCTCTCTAAGATTCTTGCTCTGTTGACCAGGGCCTTGATCGCCTGCTAGCAGGAGGTATTTTAAGAGATAATGTTGCCGTCACTGGCCTCTTTAAAGGTAAAGGTACCCCTGACCATTAGGTCCAGTCGCGGATGACTCTGGGGCTGCACCGCTCATCTTGCTCTAAAGGCCAAGAGAGCCAGCGTTTGTCTGCAGACAGCTTCTAGGTCATGTGGCCAGCATGACTAAGCCACTTCTGAGCAGCGCACGGAAACACCATTTACCTTCCCACCGGAGTGATATCTATTTATCTACTTGCACTTTGACGTGCTTTCGAACTGTTAGGCGGGCAGGAGCTGGGACCGAACAACAGTAGCTCAGCCCGTCGTGGGGATTCAAACCGCCGACCTTCTGATCGGCAAGCCCTAGGCTCTGTGGTTTAGGCCACAGCGCCACCCACATCCCTGAGACTGGCCTTTTTAGGTCTACATACTCATAAGTAGGTCCTGGCTTTTGCAATGCTTACTGGCACTAAGTCCTCACAGTTTTGTGACAGTCTATTTAACTACTGTTGTTAGAAGGGTGATGTATGATTTGGCTTAAATTACTGGGGAAAGTCAGGTTTTGGTTTTCATTAGAAGCCCCCAAGCTTCCCAGCCCCAGTATTTGAGCCCTGGGCCAGGCTGCTATTGCCTCTTACGGTGTAGCTTATACTGTGCCATTCTCAAGTTACCCCTGGTCTACTGCATAAACTGTGAAGAACTGAAGTCAACAATCTTCAAAAGCCTGGAGAAATTAGCGATTGGATGCAGCAAACCAGCACATCAGAAACCTAACATGAACAACACATTCATGCAGAAACACCCTTAGGACAATCACAGTTGGGGATAGTGGCTATAAATATTCTCCATTCATTCCACAAAGTATTAAAGTGTGCATTAAAAGCAAAAGGGGAAAAAGGCACTTTACACTGGCGCGTAGACTCCCATCTCCCTCCCACCCTGAAATTTGTTCCCCCTGGCTCCGTTTTCAGTCTTGTTTGTGGCCAGTTCCCCCTCCGACAGCAGTAGGGCTGTGGCTGCAGCAGCTCAGCTCTTGCAAAGCTGATCCTAGATGGAAATGAGGTTCTGCAAGGTGGAAGCCCCTGTTTTGTAGTTTAAATTAAAACCCAGCAGCTGCTCTCTGCAAGTTGGGGGGGGGGAGGCAAGGGTGGAAAGCAAGCCTGCTCCGCCCAGAGAGAGAGGGGGGACAGGGCAAGGGGTGACCCAATGCCCACCGAGGGGCCTTGTTAAATCGGCTCAGGGGCAAATCCAGGCAGCCTCAGGCAAGGGGGGGCAGCAACAGAGCCTCTGCCATTTGGGGTGGGGGATGTGAGAGAGGCCCACCCCCAACGGCAGAATCTCGTGTCCCTGTGTGGAATCAAGTGTCCATGAGTTCCACCGTCATTCTTTGTTCTTTTTCAAATAAAATCACTACCCTAGAAATGTTAATCTGAAAGCCCAGAGGAAGCACCCAGGGGTGCCTCCCTGCGTAAATCTTGTTCAGGCCCTGCCCACATAGAAGGGCTTTACGGGACCGCCTCTCCTGGTATGCCCCACAGAGGACCTTAAGGTCCATGAATAACCATAGTTTAGAGGTCCCGGGCCCTAAGGAAGTCAGACTATCCACCAGGGCCAGGGCCTTCTCAGTGATGGCTCCGACTTGGTGGAATGCTCTGTCCCATGAGACTAGGGCCCTTCAGGATTTAACCTCCTTTCGCCGGGCCTGTAAGACAGAGTTATTCCCCCTCCCCTTTTATGAAGATTACCCGCTTTGAGACCCCACAGCTAATTCTCCCCTGGCCTCCTCGCTGGCCCAAGTAGGACCAACTCAGCCAGCTAGCCCTGGGCATTATCTAATGCTTATTTCCCCTAAATTGATTTCTGAACTTTGAATTTTATTGTTATTCATGTTTTTATACTGTATTTTGTGCTGCTTTTACAATTAAGTGTTTGTTGTTAGCCACCCTGAGCCTGGTTTTTGAACCGGGAAGGGCGGGGTATAAATAAAAATGTATTATTATTATTATTATTATTATTATTATTATTATTATTATTCTCCTCCTTCCTCCCACCAAGAGACTGGCCAGCACCCAATAGCACAGGGCCAAGGAGAAGGAAGCTTCGTACATGGGCAGATGCACAGCATACAGGGTGGGAGTAAAACAGGTACACACCCCCTAGGAAAGGGGTTATAAATGGATGAGCTGAGAGCTGATCTTGTGTCTGAGCAACACCCTGAACTCAGATGGAGAAAACCACTCTCCCTTTTGCGACTAAAATTGCGTAGAGTGGTGCCCCGCAAGACGAATGCCTCGCAAGACGGAAAACCCGCTAGACGAAAGGGTTTTCCGTTTTGGAGGTGCTTCGCAAAACGAATTTCCCTATGGGCTTGCTTCGCAAGACGAAAACATCTTGCGAGTCTTGCCATTTTTTCCCCGCTGCCCCCCCTTTTTCTAAGCCGCTAATAGCCTTTTAGCAGCTCAGCCGCTAAGTATTTAATAGCCGCTAAACCGCTAAACCGCTAATAGCGCTAATCCACTTAGCCGCTAATGTGGTTGCTTCGCAAGACGAAAAAACCGCTAGACGAAGAGACTCGCGGAACGGATTAATTTCGTCTTGCGAGGCACCACTGTATTTGGAATGGCATTGAAATAGTTCGTCCATAAGTCCGATAGTTCTGCTTACTCTTCCGCTGAAAGAGAGGTGGATCCCTTTCCTCGAGCAAAGTTGCCATCTAGGTAGTGCTGTCCTCTGGGCATCTTGTTTGGTTCAGATCACACCTACAAAATGGACAAAGGGGTGACCATTTTCATCGTATCCTTGATAATCTTGGCAGAAACACAGCCTCACTTGTTGACAGGACCGTTTCTTAAGAAAGAAAACAGCTTACTGTCAATGTTCCCCAAATATGCATAGCTACTCAGCTGAAGTCTTGGGGGAACCATCTAGGGCAGGCATAGGCAAACTTGGCCCTCCAGATGTTTTGGGACTACAACTCCCATGATCCCCAGCTAACAGGACCAGTGGTCAAGGATGATGGGAACTGTAGTCCCAAAACATCTGGAGGACCGAGTTTGCCTATGCCCGATCTAGGGTTCAGAAAGGTTTTTGTTTTTACGTTATTTAAATTGTATTTTTTTTGGTCTTTTCTAGTTTGCTTTAGATATCGTCTCAATCCTTCGAAAGAGAAAAAAGGATGCTAAGAAAATAATTATACATTGATCCATTAAAGGCAAATGTTTGCACTGACCACTAAAAGGAAATCTCAATGACTGAATGAGCCGCTTGCTTATTAAAGTATTTTAATAACGTTCTGCGTGTGAAAAATCTAAGTGAAATAAATAGTCTCATCAACATTTCCCCACACATTCTCTTCTTTGGTTCCATGCCCTCTGGGCGGGTGCATTTCAGACTAGTGTAATCTGCAGAATATCTATACAGTGGTACCTCGGGTTACAGATGCTTCAGGTTACAGATTCCGCTAACCCAGAAATAGTACCTCGGGTTAAGAACTTTGCTTCAGGATGAGAACAGAAATCGCGTGGTGGCAGCGGGAGGCCCCACTAGCTAAAGTGGTGCTTCAGGTTAAGAACAGTTTCAGGTTAAGAACGGACCTCCGGAACGAATTAAGTTCTTAACCCAAGGTACTACTGTATACATAGCAGGTTAAGAGCACATGCATTTTAGACTGTATGGTAGGCGAAAGGCTTTGTATTCAGTATCATCCTATATTTAGTCTCTTGCATCCCCAGTTAAGAGGCAGAACAGAGAACAAGTTATGTGAAATATGCTGTCTGAGCCCCTGAAGACCTGCTGTCAATCAGAGCAGACAATTCAGGGCTAGCTGGTCAAACATTTTGGTAATGTAGCAAAGAGACAGAAAGTGGACTGCAGGGCAGGTCTGACTTTGAAATTGTACCCTTGAATGCTATCAAATTTAAACATGGTGTGCTAAAAACAAAACCCACACTTTTAATGCATAAAATAAAGGGGGAAACGTTTTAAATAATAAAAAGTGGGCAGAGTGTTCTTACAGCTAGATGTCATCAATTATTTAATGGCGCCAGATTACTGATTGCAGGAGGGAGCTGGGTCAGTTATCACGCCAAAACGTAATAAACCTATTTAAAAAATGAAATAAACTTCCAGTCCCTGAACCACTGTTTGAAGAACAGAGAGAGATTCCAGGATTTAGAACTTGGTGACCCTTGATTTTGAAAAAGCACACTGGAGCATTGTGTAACTTTAAAAAATAAAAAAACTGAATAGGTTTTGCTATTAGGATGTGAATGAACACAACTCTGCAAAGGCAGTAGACAAACATTGTCTAAAGTTTATATTGCCCCGTGCTTTTCCTAATGTCACAATCTGATGGATTTATCTGGTTGTCATTTGTGTAAATACCCAAGGAAAATTAACCAGCCATATCAAATCAAACTGAATGGCTTCATCCAGAAAAGCACACAGATAAACATTTTGCCCCACAGCTATGCTACTTAAATCTCATTAAATGAAAGGAGATTGAAACAGCCTATCAAGTGCAGGATCGCAATCTCTGATTTCAGCAGTGCACAGAATAGTAAATTGTGCTGTGAACTAAAATTACAGAGCTACCACAGTCAGGTAAAGGGGGGGGGAACCCCATGCTAAAGGTCCCACAATTTAAGAAACTTATTTCTTAATCAAATACATTTTTTTCAAGAGATAAGAAAACTGGTCAAACTGAAATTTAATACAACATGAAAATCTTGCGAAAGAAATGAACAAGGCTTACCTTTCTTACAGACTCTGGCTGAGTGCTAAGGCATAACCAGATTTCCTTCCTCCTCTATCTCTTTTTTCCTTTTTTAAATTTCCTCCTTAGGACTACTGAGCTCTCATGACCATCACGAGTCTGAATTTCTGGTGGTGCAGCTTTTTGATCGCTTTAATTAGCGTGAAAGGCTAAGACCAAAGAAATGGTTTCTGTTCTTTCCATTTCTACCCAAGCCCCTCCCAGAGGGAAGCCACATTCAGTTCAGTGGGACTTGTTCCCTAGCTAAGTGTATCTAGGATTGCAGCCTTATGCAAAAAATAAAGAGTAGCTGTTCAATTATTGTGTGCAGCAATCCAGACCTCTTTTCTTGAAGCACTGCAGAGGGGCAGAAGCAAATGCTTAATACAAGTACAGTAGACACTTGGGTTGCGAACATGATGCACATTCGCGACCCGCAGCGGCGCATCTGCGCATGTGTGGGTTGCGATTCGGCGCTTCTGCGCTTCTGCGCATGCGCAAAGTGCAATTTAGTGCTTCTGCACATGCGTATTTTTCGCCCTATAGGGCGCACTGGCCCATAGGGCGCACCTCGTTTTTTTGGGGGGAAATGAATAAAAAAAAATTATTTCCCCCCCCCAGCCGCGGGGCTGGGGCGGGGGAAGCCTGAGCTTCCCCCGACCCCAGCCCCCAGAACAGGCTGCTATCCGCAAGCCTTGTGAGGGCGCCCCGTGCTTCGGGCTGCAGGCTGCTGCCCGCAAGCCTTGCGAGCCCAGCGGGAACTCCCCCCGGGTGTGCAAGGCTTGCGGATAGCTTCCTGAAGCCTGGAGAGCGAGAGGGGTCGGTGCGCACCGACGCCTCTCGCTCTCCAGGCTTCAGCGAAAGCCTGCATTCACCCCATAGGACGCACACACATTTCCCTTTCATTTTTGGAGGGGAAAAAGTGCGTTCTATAGGGCAAAAAATACACCTGTTCCAGTACTTTCGGGTTTTGGTGGGTCCGTAACCCGAAAAAACACAACCTGAAGCACCTGTAACCCGATGTACAGTGGTACCTCGGGCTAAGAACTTAATTCATTCTGGAGGTCCGTTCTTAACCTGAAACTGTTCTTAACCTGAGGTACCACTTTAGCTAATGGGGCCTCCCGCTGCCACCGCCGCGCCGCCACCAGCCGAATTCTGTTCGCATCCTGAAGCAAAGTTCTTAACCCGAGGTACTATTTTTGGGTTAGTGGAGGCTGTAACCTGAAGCGTCTGTAACCCGAGGTACCATTGTACAAAGGACAGCTGCAAGTACGATCATCTCAGCTCAAACTGCACCAGAATTCTAATAACCAGGTGGCCTGATGGGCCTCCGAAGTTGTGGGGATGCCAATGAGACAGTCCTATATAAGCTCCATCATTTTTGACATCAAAGAGGGTGCTTGCAGCAAGGCCTCTGCTCTTTAAAATATGGTGAGATTAATATGGAAAGAGACATCCCTGCAAGCTGGTTAAGGGCTCAGCCTGCAATCTTGTAAAACAAATGCAAAGATTTTTTTAAAAAATAAAGTTTTACACAAAAGCTACCTATAGAAATATAGAACCAATAAGAAGGTGGGGGGGACTAGATGGGTTCATCTGAATTAACTGCCCATACAGCAGTAGTGATGTATGGAAGTGAGAGCTGGACCATAAAGAAGGCTAATCGCCGAAGAATTGATGCTTTTGAATTATGGTGCTGTATGTCCCATGGACTGCAAGAAGATCAAACCTATCCATTCTTAAGGAAATCAGCCCTGAGTGCTCACTGGAAGGACAGATCCTGAAGCTGAAGCTCCAATACTTTGGCCACCTCATGAGAAGAGAAGACTCCTTGGAAAAGACCCTGATGTTGGGAAAGATTGAGGGCACAAGGAGAAGGGGACAACAGAGGACGAGATGGTTGGACAGTGTTCTCAAAGCTACCAACATGAGTTTGACCAAGCTGTGGGAGGCAGTGGAAGACAGGAGTGCCTGGCATGCTCTGGTCCATGGGGTCATGAAGAGTCAGAAATGACTAAATGACTAAACAACAACAGCAGCATTGAACATGAACTGGTAGCAGGCAATTAATAAAGGGTCTAATTAGTGATGTGTATAGATGCTAGGGGACGTGGGTCTAAACCACAGAGCCTAGGGCTTGCCGATCAGAAGGTCAGCGGTTCGAATCCCCGCAATGGGGTGAGCTCCCGTTGCTTGGTCCCCGCTCCTGCTAACCTAGCAGTTTGAAAGCACATCAAAGTGCAAGTAGATAAATAGGTACCGCTACGGCAGGAAGGTAAACGGCGTTTCCGTCGCTGCTCTGGTTCGCCAGAAGCGGCTTAGTCATGCCAGCCACATGACGCAAGCTGTCATGCCAGCCACATGACGCAAGCTCCCTTGGCCAATAAAGTGAGATGAGTGCCGCAACCCGAAAGTCGTCCACGACTGGACTTAACGGTCAGGGGTCCCTTTACCTTTATAGATGCTAGGAGAGGATAAATTTATTGATTAATATCCTTCCTTCCTCAGGTCTGTGAGTTCAGCAGAGTGCATCTCTTAAGATGGTGTCTGAGCAATGGACCTACCTACTAGGCACAGGTTTTCTGCCTGTATTTTTCACTGTCCTGTCCAGCTTTAATAAATTCAATGGGGGTGGGGCACAATACTTGAGTAAAAGAGTATAATACTCACCACCTGGTTTTCTATAAATGTTTCCAGCATGTGCCCTTTTTTGTTGTTGTTTTTAGCATGTAAATATTTGCTTCAGGCCACCACACCAGTTGCATGTAGTACCATCAAAATTAGCACCTTTTCCCACACTACTTTATCCTACGTTGCACAAATGGAAAACAGCCCATGGAAGCAGGGTAGAAAGAGCCATGAGGTGGGGGGGGGGGTAGCGGGGGGGGGGGTAGCATGAGACCCAAAGTCAAATGAGAGGCTTTCTTGTACTCCTTATGGCTAAAAACAAATCAGGTATACTTTCTTCCCTCTCGGAGAAGAATTCATCAATAACTGCTTGCAGAGAGCGGGGATCACATAAAGGGGTTCTTTGTCACTGCCAGCAGCCAGGCAGTCACAAATCACCCATGTGATGATAATGCCAGTGCATTTGTGTTTCGCCATGGGCTGATCTTGCATTCAGATGACTCAAGATTCCAGATGTCAAAGGTCTATTATTCTCGAGAGCGATGAAGAGATCTCTGTCCGTGTTAGCTAATCCCTTCGGAGCAGGCAGTTGCAGAAAAAGTAATATTAATAACCGAGCAGTTTATAAGGTGAAAACATGGGCTTGATCCTGGTCTTGGTTTTGCTAGGGGGTCCTTATTAGTATGCTTGTATAAATTCCAAATTTGCTATACTAATTGCCCCCTCCCCATTTTAACTCCTATGCAGCTGGCAGTAGACCTCTGCTTACAGATCTATTTCTTTTTTAAAATCCTTTTTTGTTTTTGTCTGGTAACACCCAGCAGAAGAATTTCTGCCAGTACCATGCTACTCCTAAGTGCTGAGCGAGGTCAATCATTGTGTTTGACCGAAAGCGAGCTGGTTTGGAAGCCCTGCTTGCGGCAAACGATGGCCAAGATGACCCTGGAAGCAGCTGTAGCATGGAGCTCATCTGCATTTCACATTATTGGAATATTATTGGATAATATACGAGAGCCAGGGCTTTTTCGGCTGTGGCTCCGATCTGGTGGAACACTCTGTCACAAGAGACCAGGGCCCTGCGGGACTTGACATCTTTCCGCAGGGCCTGCAAGACAGAGCTGTTCCACCAGGCCTTTGGCAAGGGCACAGCCTGACTCCCTCCTTCGGCAATCTTCGCGGAGCTCTGGCCCAATGGCTGCCAGTGGCTTGAATTAATTAATTTTAGAATGAATGATTTTAGAGTGTTGTTTATGCGGAACTTTTTGTACTGTTTATTGTTGTTAGCCGCCCTGAGCCCGGCTAAGGCTGGGGAGGGCGGGATATAAATAAAAATTATTATTATTATTATTATTATTATTATTATTATTATTATTATTATTATTATTTTGCTATGCCCCAGGCATAGCTAAAGGGGGAGGTGATGGTTAATACCAGCCACGTTTGTTCCCAGGTGACATAGCCGACCTGGGTCTATAAAGGTTGTGTGTATCTTCACTTGGGTGCCGACAAGCCATCTTCTCGCTACAGAATCTTTTCCACCGAATGCTGTGAGGAGGGAACCTTTGGACCTGTGCTGTAAGTTTGTACCTTTTAAAAAATAAAAAGTTAGACCTGATCTCTCATCTTTCTTTGGAATCCCTGTGTATCTGAACTTGCGAGACCACTACTCACTCAGTCAGCTCCAGTGCCACATTTATGTATAAGCTAAACAATCTATAGCTTAGCCCCCCCCCCCCATTTAAAAGAAAAAAAACATGGATGTACGTTTCCAAAATATAAGATAAAAGACAAATAATATAAAACCTACTGTCAGGAAACTGACATCGGAGCAGAGTGGAGAGGCTAGGCTCCCCAATGATGCCGGAGAAGGAACCAGTACAGGGGTAGAGAGGGCTTCCGCTGGGGAAGAAAGGCAAGGTGACACCAGGAAGAAAGAAGGGATTGAGAGCACTTCGGAGGGGAGGCTCCGAGACTCTTCAAGTGAGGTCAGTGAGGAGAGTGGAGGACCACCGGTGGGGACGCCCACTCTGCGCAGAAGGCTTCCGCGCAGAGAGGCGAGAAGGAGGCTGTCCGTGAAGGAATTTTTATGTTGGAAGAAGTTTAGGAAACGCCCACTGACGGATTCTGCCAGCGACTGAAGCAGTCGTGCCCAAGGGGGGCTGCTCAGCCGGGGAAAACGCAACCACCTCACGCAGGTTGGAGCAGGTGGAGGTTACACACAAGCAACCCCAATTCCCATGATACCTACATACAGCAACAGGGTTTTCTGTTGTGTAGGCTCCTATGATGTAAGTAATGGGCCCTGCCTGCTAGCCTGCTCCCTAAAGTATCACTGGTTTGCTATTATTATTTCATGTTATAGCAAGTTTCTAGAGACTAGATTATGAGACTTTGTAGATTGTGTTTCTAAAGGAACTTTTGTTATTTCCAAATGCCAATGTGTTTGCATTATTAAGTTTGATATGAATAAAAAATCATTTTAAGTTAGAGCTGAATAATTATTTCACTATTAATATACTTCTTCTTAATTGTATTTGAGTTCAACAATTACTTTGATAAAATACATATTTATGTGCAAATGGCTTTAGATACCTATTAGGTCCATAAGTTACCATATAGCATATATTCAACACAAAAAACTGACAATTTGTTGTTGACAAAGGACAGCTGGACATATAAAGGGGCCCATTACCTTCAGTAACTTAGGGCCTCATCAAACCTAAATCCGGCCATGGTCAGCTCCTGCACATGAAATAGGAGAAGTTTCATTTTGTCCTTCTATACAGCTTTATATTTTTAAGGAAAAGAAAAATCTCAAAAACAGTTTACAACATGTTAAAATGTCGAATGAAACTATCTGGAATAAAACGTTACTGAAGAAAGTCAACTATAAACTAAAATAATATCTTAAAGTAGGGTTGCCAAATGTCCAAATTTTCTGGGGGGGAATTTGAGGAAATCACCAAAATGTCCAGGTTTTTGAAACTCCACCCCCCCCTACAAAGGTCAACTTTTACTTCTTTAAATATGGCAACCCTATCTTAAAGATTACAAATAACGCATTACAAAGGAGGTCAACTACAAAATGCACATTTGACGGACAGCGTTAACAACAAAATGAACTTAAAACATTTCAAAAGAAAACATTACTAAAGGAAGTAGAATATGAAATGCACATTTAAAACAGCATTTATTCCCTTTCCTTTCAAATAGTTCTTCCCTTTCCTTATATTTGACTGTGAGCCTTCAGTTGTTTGTAGTATGGTTAGTTTTCAGATGAAACAAAACATGTTATTTTTTTAATTTTCCTCTCTAGAGGGAGCTCCAGTAACATGTCACCTTTACCATCTTGTCTGTGCTAGATGCAAAAATGTTATTTAAACGTGAGACAATTACTTCCTTAAAGAATTCATGTCTGATAAATGGTTCCAATGGATACATATTTGTCCCAAACACATTTTAGCCTTTGCATTATATTACTGCCAAGCTCTTTTCCGTGCTAATAGCATAATATTCCCTTTGTGAGTCCCAAGGGTGCTAACTTTTGCTTTGGACAAGCAGGAGACTAGACTGAGGAACATTATGAGGGCATAATGGATGTAGGGTAATTCTGTAGTGAGCAATGTAACACTCATAAGCTTCTTTACATATTTTGTGCTTCAGCTAATATTATTTGAACTTCCATTACTATACCCCAAAACTCCAAAAATTATCCTGACATAATCTTCCCTACAAAAATAATCGAGAAAAGTATGTCACAGGTAGATGATTTTTTTTATTGTGTTTTAAAAGATGTGACCGACCTCAATAATTTATGTGCAACTTGTTTTCTCTAAAACGATTGTCTTCTCTAAAAGTATGATTTATTTATTTTTTAATCCATCTTCAGCAATATACAGAATGTTTCATGGGCGAGTGTCAAACATATTGTAATGTTTATTGGAAACTGTTGAAAAAAGTTTTCTGACAGAAGTTTAGTGTGACCAACATAACCAGTGTGGGAATTCATTAATAGATACCCACAAATTAATGTCTCTGAAACAAGGCCCATTTGTACTATACTATACTGTACTATGGATTCACAATTGCAGATTAGCATCACGCTAAAATGGAAAAAGGTGCAATTTCTTCCCTTCCATTTAAGGACAGTCTTCCTATGTTCCTGATGGGGGGGGGGGAGACTTCCAAACACTGGAAAAAGCCTTTAGGGGTCCCCCAATGGAATTGGCGGAAATGGACTACATGGAATTGGCGGAAATGAGAGGCAGAATCTGAGACCAGGGAGAAGAGTTGGTGGAAGACGATTGGAAAAAATTTAAAGTATATTTACAGAAATATTGCAAAATTAATGAATGTTAGAAGGATGTTGGAATGAAGTTATATGGCGTTAGCAGAAATGTTATAAAGAATTAAGTAAAAATAGACTGTTAATGGGCCAAAGTGGAAAACTTAAGGTTAGATTGTGCTAAGATAAATTATAGAACAAAAATTGAGAAAGATGGAAGGGATAGCTAATTGAATTAGAATACAAAAAAGGGAGGTGTGAGGAGGTCGATGAAACAAGTAAATGAAAAGCAAAGATATGGAAATATTAGATGTGTTTTTAAGTGTTTTTGTTTTTCTTATTGTTTTGTTGTATTGTTTTTTGTTTTTATTTTTATTTTTGATGTATTGTAATTTTTTATTGTCTCTTTTTTCTTTTTTCTGTAACTATTAAACCTCTAATAAATATCATTAAAAAAATAGGGGTCCCCCAATCTTTAAGATTTATGCTAAATCGGGTTTTAAAATAGGGGCTTCTCCCATCGCTTCCTTTTTATAGTCTGATCTTGCTCTAACGGGAGGAAGAAAGGTAGGGTGTAAATTTAATAAATAAATAAAGGCTTATGCACCAACTGCCTGTAAATAAATTCCTTAATTCAAATATTTATTTAGCCCTGTGCATGTAAAGCAACATTTATCCGTCAAACATTTAAGCAGGGTGGCAGAGGGGGGGTGGGGAGAGGATGCTACGTAAGGGCTTAGAATTATTATTGCTGTAGCAAGGAATTCAAATTCTTTCTTTTAAATACAATCAGTAATCCCTTCTCTATATGTTTTTGATCAAGCTTTTGCCACACATCATGGCAGAGAAATGAGGCATACAAAATAAAACCAACAAGACAATGGTAGAATTCGGCTGAATACATTGACTTCACTGTCTATAATGCTTGGTTGGGGCAACCCAGTCAAATGGGCAGGGTAGTAATTATAATAACAACAATAAGAAGAATAAGTTAATTTTAAGTCTTCTGTATGACAAGAAAGCAGAGAAACAGTAAGAATAAATTAAGAGTGCCCTTCTAGCACAAACTCCTGACTTAAAGCATCACCAACGTACTACAGATAAAAGTATGCAATATTTACAATGCAATCTTATGCATGTTTACTTAAAGCAAGTCCTACTATGTTTGGTTGGGTTTACCTCCTGGCATAGGATTAATGCTTAAAAACTGTCGTTAATAGTATTGCTGCACAAAACCAGTTCTACAAGTTTATTGGTTATGGGGCTCAACATTAGCAGTGACAATAGCACAGCTTCTTCTATATATTTTTTCTTTTTGTATGTGTCATCCTATCATCATCTTATAGGAAACTCACAACTGGACCACGCATGTTGATAGAATAATTATAATGTAATCACAATATTGTTTCCTTTATCTCCCACTGAAGAAAAGCTCTGGTACAAGTAGATGTAGCAGTAACCCTACTTGGGCATTAAAGGAAGGGAAGAGGCTGTGACAGATGGACTTTGAGTGATCCCCCTGGGTATCCTGCTGGGATGGGGAGGGAGCGGGGAGTTAAAAGACAGAACCCAACAGGTAAACTGACAGGGCTTTGCAATGGCTGAGTGAAGGATTAGCTGGTTGGTTAGAAGTTTCCTAGGCAGGGCAACCCAGATTATTTCCCTGAGGTGAAGGGAAAGATCCTAGAAGGGTCTGGAAGAAGGGTCTTAAACACACACTCTCTCTCTCTCTCTCTCTCTCTCTATATATATATATATATATATATATATATATATATAAAGGTAAAGGTACCCCTGCCCGTACGGGCCAGTCGTGACTGACTCTGGGGTTGCGTGCTCATCTCGCTTAAGAGGCCGGGAGCCAGCGCTGTCCGAAGACACTTCCGGGTCACGTGGCCAGCGTGACGGAGCTGCTCTGGTGAGCCAGCACCAGCGCAGTGCACGGAAACGCCATTACCTTCCCGCTATAAAGTGGTACCTATTTATCTACTTGCACTTAGGGGTGCTTTCGAACTGCTAGGTGGGCAGGAGCCGGGGCCGAACGACGGGAGCTCACCCCGCTGCGGGGATTCGAACAGCCGACCATACGATCGGCAAGTCCTAGGCACTGAGGTTTTACCCACATCGCCACCCGCGTCCCATATATATATATATGTGTGTGTGTGTGTGTATATATATATATATGTGTGTGTGTGTGTGTGTGTGTGTGTGTGTGTGTGTGTGTATGTATATATATATATATATATATATATATATATATATATATATATGTTGTTGTTTAGTTGTTTAGTCGTGTCTAACTCTTTGTGACCCCATGGACCAGAGCACGCCAGGCACTTCTGTCTTCCACTGCCTCCCGCAGTTTGGTCAAACTCATGCTGGTAGCTTTGAGAACACTATCCAACCATCTCGTCCTCTGTTGTCCCCTTCTCCTTGTGCCCTCAATCTTTCCCAACATCAGAGTCTTTTTCAGGGAGTCTTCTCTTCGCATGCGGTGGCCAAAGTACTGGAGCCTCAGCTTCAGGATCTGTCCTTCCAGTGAGCACTCAGGGCTGATTT